TGCAAACGATGATGCAGGAAATGTGGCAAGAGGGTGAGGTTCTCGATGACTTCTCAAGACAAACTGGTTGCATGGGGCTCAAGCTGTGCAAAGTATGTATGTGGTACGACTGTGGGAGCGAAGGGCTGCAGTAGAAGCCAAGCAGTAGCATACTGCGGCAGAGAGCATCAAAAGACAGACTGGAAGGCCCATGAAAAGGCGTGTGTGCCCAGAGAAGATCAGCAGACAAGGAGAGCCTGGAGGTGAGAAGGTGACAGGATCAGAAATTGTGGATGGCGTGCTGGAACAGACAAGCCGGGTTCACTTCGTGGCTAGATACTCGGGCGGTTTTCGAATTTGCTTATTTTTTTCTTTCTTTTCGCTTGAGAGATCTGCTTATATTTTTTCTTCCTTTTCACATGAGAAGTTTATCAGATTGTTCCGTCTGAATTTTCTTTCGTTTTCGACATGGATGGTTTGGTGAGTTTTCTGTTGAGGAGTAAAATGTATGTGGGTGTAGGCGCTGAAGTACTCACCGGCTCAGGGAGAGAGACTGAGTGGTGCAAGTGAAAGCTCTAGGGGGAGAAGGTTCGTTGTTAGCTGTACATGGGCAAGGAGAAAGACATGATGTGTGCTATCAAATGACCTCATGGCATGTAGGCTGGGGAAGGGGGGATAATAGCATCATAGTCCGAGGATCGGGTTAATGCTCGAAATGGCCCTTTACGTCATGGGTGAGTTACGAGCCAGGGTGAACCTGGCAAATATTGCTGGGACCGACGAGCAGAGGCGGGAACATGGTGTTCGAACAGCTTAAAGAGTACGGCCTGGAGAGTGCAAGCATGCAGGTTGGCAGCGCCTTGTCCATGTGTGCTGGAGGTCCATGTTAGGAAAAAGCAATGACGACACCATCTTCTTTTCAGCAGAGTAGTTGTCAGGGCTCGATGGGACGTCGCGAGGAATGTTGTGGCGTTGGAAGGACTGCTGCCGACAAAGTTGGGGTGACAAGTTGTATACACAGACTGGCCAAAACTGCGATACGGACGCAAGGGCAGGGTGATGGGGAATACAGGGAATCATTAGCTTATCGGCCCAGTACTGCAGGAAAGCATGACATAGTCTGAAGGAAATACCATAGTATGAGAGAAGTCATCCATGGGCAAGTTTCCCATATCCAAGAAGCGCGTGTCAACAGGCGAGATAGTCCAAGTGGCGAAGCTCCGGAGCCGAACATATACTATCCGTTCAGGAGTACTCGACGTCGAAGTGACAACAGCACGGTGGAGAATCTTGGCTATGAGATGTACATGGTGGAGCGGCGATGACAAGTTAGGTTGCGGAGATGGCAAATACGGTCGACGGCCACACTGCCCCAAATCAGCAACTGAGGAGACGGCCGAGATACGAGAGACTGGCAAATACGACGTCCACGTTTCGATCCATCCAGCCCAAGCAATCAGCCATTGAAGAGGCTTGAAGACATGAGCAGGCGGAAGCAATTGTGAGGGCGCTGCCCAAGCTACGTCGGCGAGGGCCGCCGCCGCGAAAGCGAATACCACAGCCCAGCGATGCCTCGAGCACAGGAGCGTTTCCCAGTAAGCTTGTCTGGTCACGAGAGACGGAGGGTGCGTCAGGAGATGCGCATTTAGCTGGAGTGTCGTCGTCAAAGCCACTAGTTCAGACTGCTTGTGAAGAAACAGGCCAACGGCCATGGAAAGACGACGTCGTGGAGCGGAGGCGGCCGCAGCGGCAGGGAAAGAGAAATCGTCATCCTGGGCGAGATGAATCTCCAAGGAAGCGAAGTCGACGTGGAACTCGAGGCCAGAGGAGGCGGGCGTTGCAGGCCGAGGACTTGACGAGCGTGTTGGGTTACTTAGAGGAGGAATTTGCCGTGAAGGAGAGCCTGTCGAAAGAGCAGATGTGGTGTACGCCAATACCACATGAGAGAAAGGTCTCGACTGCAGAAGATTTCTATAGAGCGTTCCACGATACGAGCAACTTGCAGTTATGGACGTGTATGCTGTGCTACCGCAAGCGCACGAAAAAAGAGTTGAGAGATGTTAAATTGGAACCATGGAAGTTGAACGGTATTGCAAATAACGGCCGGTCGCCGTTTTCATGTCGGAGCTGCATACCTGAGGGCGAGAGTGTCCTAGTCTGCGCGGAGTGCGTACGTTGTTTGGGACGCAACGCCCTGTCGCCTGCGGCCCAGCTCCATAGACGTATTGGGTGTGAGCATATGTTCCCCGAAGAGCTGAAGGGTCTCACTCCAGTGGAGGAGAAACTTATCGCGCTGAACTCATGTTACGGGTTCGTCACAAGGTACAGCGTTGCGAGCGGTCACAAGCAAAATGCCATTTACCCAAAGCACATCAAGGGCCACATCACAGTGTTCCCGAACAATGTGCAGGAGCTGGCCACAAAGGTACTTCCCCATCCGCTCGTGCAAGTTATGGAAGAGATCCATATCTCGTGGCAAGGCGCGGAGAAGCCAGCACCAAGCGACTTGTCGGGGCTTTTGTCAGTCAGGCGACGAGTCGTTGAGAGGGCACTCGTCTGGCTGAAGATGAACAACCCGCATTACGCCGAGATTGAGATTGATGCGGCGGAAATGGAAAGCTGGGGCGCACCGCCGCATGGGGTGCCGTCCCTGGTGTACGATTGCATGGAACGGAATGAGCCAACGGCGTGGGAAAAGGCACGAACGGCGCAGGTTGTTCCCCCAACAGAGCGTGGTATGGACGAAGAGGATTCGTTGGAGATTGAGGAGGTCCTCGCGCGCCTTGATCGAGGAGAAGACGAACACAGTGGCCGGGCACAAGGGCCGGGGTTGGGTCAAGACGAAGGTGGCCTCTGGGGCGAGGCCGAGTCTGGCCAATGGGGAAAACCGATCAACGAAGTCACTTCATCCGCTATGTTTGCGCTGGATGGACCGCCAGATGTTCACGAT